AAGAAACTGTGTATATGACACAGCCAGAAGGTTTTTTCGATCCAGGCAACGCTGGAAAGGTTTGCAAGCTGAAGAAGTCCATTTATGGACTTAAGCAAGCCAGCAGAAGTTGGAATCTGCGATTTGATGAAGCCATTAGCAAGTTTGGTTTTATCAAGAATCCAGATGAATCTTGTGTATACAAGAAGGTAAGTGGGAGTGATATTGCATTCCTAGTCTTGTATGTCGATGACATACTTCTCATTGGAAACAGCACAAAATTACTAGAGTCCGTAAAAGGCTGGTTGGGAAAGTGCTTTTCAATGAAGGACTTAGGAGAGGCACAATACATATAGGGCATCAAGATCTACAAAGGTAGATCTAAAAGGATGATTGGGTTAAGCCAGAGTACTTACATTGATAAGGTACTAGCTCGATTCAACATGGAGAATGCAAAAAGAGGGAATTTACCCATGTCCCATGGCATAACTCTCAATAAGAAACAGTGTCCACAGACACATGTTGAGCGAGAAAGAATGAATCAAATCCCATATGCTTCGCTGATTGGATCGATCATGTATGCCATGATATGTAGAAGGCTAGATGTATCGTATGCCCTAAATGCAACGAGCCGATACCAATCGAACCCAGGAGAGGCGCATTGGACTGCAGCTAAGAATATCCTAAAGTACCTGAAAAGGAACAAGGATAAATTCCTGGTGTATGGAGGCCACAAAGAACTGGTTGTTGATGGTTACACCGACGCTAGCTTCTAGACTGACAGAGACGACTTCAAGTCACAGTCAGGGTACATATTTTGCCTAAATGGAGGAGCGTTTAGCTGGAAGAGTTCCAAGCAGAGCACCACTGCAGACTCTACAACTGAAGCCGAGTACTTGGCCGCTTCAGAAGCTGCCAAGGAAGCTGTTTGGATTCGCAAGTTCATCAGCGAACTTGGTGTTGTACCCTCAATCAAGGGGCCGATAGACCTCAATTGTGATAACAATGGAGCTATCGCTAAGGCCAGGGAGCCGAGAGAACACCAGAAGGTCAAACACGTGCAAAGGCGATTTCACATGATAAAGGAATGGAAATCCGAAGGTGAAATCAGAATTTGTAAGATTGGCACAGATGATAATGTGGCCGATCCTTTGACTAAACCGCTGCCTCAGGTGAAACACAACAAGCACATTGAGGCGATGGGAATCAAGCATGTTGGAGACTGGCTTTGAAATTCCCTGTACATGTGTTTTAATTAAATACGATGTTTAATGTAAGACACTGTAATGAAACCATTCATTTATGGAGTAATTAATTTTGTGCAAAATTATCATTCACTCCATTAATATTTAATTGTGGTTTAGAATTAAATAATGAGTCCATTCGATTTACGGAAATATTCAAAACAGGGTATCAAGACCATGTCTTGGATAAAGAAACACCTGTTAAGTGAACATTGAATATTTAAATCGAAAATTGTCCCTAATCGAGGTCATATAACAAATGGACGATTGATGACCGCCATAGATTAGTGTGTAGTATGATTTACAGCACCGTTTCTTGTGCTGCGAGGACATGACAGTCATAAATCATTTGCAGAGGTACAGTTTGGAAATGTACTGGGTAAGACTTATGAGAGTACTTTAAGAAATTTCAAAATTGTCATAAGTACATTTCTCATTATGATTATCAGAACCTATTTCCTCCGACCATGAGTATTGTGAAGTTTTCTTGTTTGAGTGCTAGACTCTTTGATGTTTCCTAACGTCTTCCGTAAATGAGGATCATAACGGGAACACTCGGGAGACTAAGTCCTCTTAGTAAGAGGAACTTACAATGCAAGACTGGGATTGTTCCCCTATTACCAATAGGGAAAATGTTTTGTTGTTTACAAGGCCGCTCGAAGAGCGAGACTGTGAAAATGCATGGTCGTGCTCAGATGGATTTTAGAAATCATCTGCTTATTGACAGTCGAACTCGGAGATCGAGAAACACTTCTGAACGTAATAAGGATGACGATGAATCTTACCTTATAGTTCACGAAGAAACATTAAGAGACATAGGAAATGGGCTATACCCTGTATGCACACTTGTCCAGAAGGACAAGTGGGAGATTGAAAGGAATAGTGTCCTTCCAACAAGTGTATTCTTCTGATAGAGGGTTAAAAGTTATTACAGAGTTAATTCTTCAGTAAGATCAAGTGATTGGAATGCCTAGGTGGAGGCCGCTTCCGATCAGTAATATCAAGGTACAATTGATATTACAGCTTAATCTTAACTGAACCCTTCGGGTCGAACCCAATCAAATCACCGATCCGAGACGACGAATTAATCCGAAAGGATTAAATGAGTCGACATATTTTTACAAATACAGACGTCGGATATCGAGCCTAGAGCGTCGAGGCCGAGCGTCGCAAAATCACAAGCGACAAGTACGAGCGTAGCCGTGGCACCACGATGGTCTAACCATGTGGATGCTAGGCTAGTTCGAGCTAGCATGCACCTAGCATGGCTAAGCGCAAGCCTAAGCACACTATGTGTGCTAGACGCACCATCGCAGCCCTAGCATCATGCCTAGGCGCTATCGCAGCCCTAGCATGATGCCTAGGCACCATCGCTTTCCATCGCAGGCACTAGGCGCACCAGGAGCACCTGGCAGACTATCGCAAGCACTAGGCGCACCATCGCTGGCACTAGGTGCTGGCGTGCGTGCGTGCGTGCCTAGAATGGCAGCACCATCGCTAGCACCAAGTACTAGCATGGGTGCTTGCCTAGCATTGGCGCAACATGCGTGCTGGCTTGCGTGTTAGCCTTCGCATGGAAGCACCAAGCAGCGCACCATGCATGTGCGAAGGCCTGGGCGCCAGCACATTGCTAGGCCATGCACAGCAGCCAGCATCGCTACGCACCCAACCTGCTAGGGGATGCGTGAGATGCTAGTGTATGTGCGTGTGCGAGAGGTGCAGCGAGGGATGCGAGTGCATGTGCGAGGGTGGTGCGTATGGCTGGCAAGACAAGGGGGCCAGCATGCGTGGCAAGCTAGCAGCACGCATGCTGGCTATGCGAGCATGTGCGAGAGAGGCGAGGGTTAGCACCAGCGCCAGCAGATAGTAGCGCCTAGCACTGGCACGGAGCACCAGCGCCAAGCATCGCCCAGCACCAAGCATGCACTGCCTGGCTGGGATGCGAGGCTGCTGGCTGGGCTGGTGCTAGCTGGCTGGGCTAGATGGCAGCAGCCCAGCAGCCTATGCTTAAGGCGGTTTTGTGAGGGGTGGGGACCAAGGCTTGGGCAAAGCCTTGGGGAGAAAGACAATGGTCCCCCCACCTCTTCATGGTCCTCACCTAACCCTCTCTCTCTCCTTGACACTTGTTGCATTGTGATTGAATTTAATTATTAATTTGTTTTGGAAATAAATTAATTATCAAAATTATTCATTCTTCCACAATGGTTGGGAAATGAAGTTCAAGGGTGAATTTCCCTATAAATACCAAAGGCATGGTATTGGGAAATACACAACCTTGAGTGGAATTAAAAAGGCAACTCTTGTAATTAGAGTAAACCTTTGATTCGTAAAACTCATAGTTTTGTTTTGTCCAGGTCTTGACTAACCTTCAAGACTTGGGACGCTCGGGTCGGGTCGAGGGTACGATCCGTCGGAGATCTCATAGTTTCGGGATTTTTAAGTAAGAGCTCTTCGGGAGCGAAGCACGTAACAAAGGTATGCTTGTTAATTGCTTTAATTAAGGGGCGGGTCTTGATTAAGTTTATTATGCTTGTTAATTTCTTTAATTAAGGGGCGGGTCTTAGGGGGTTTCCTTTCGCGTAGTGTCGGGTCACTACAAAACCCTACACTCCGAACCTTAGGATCATCAAACCTGTAACAAACGGGAAACAACAATGTTAAACAAGTTCGAAAATAGTAATATAAGCCTTGTATCTCATCATCCATATCATGATATGTACGTACCACAGCATAGTAGGGTCCAAAAACGGGAGTTGTGACTCATCCTTTGACTCATCCCGTGGCCCATCTTCTGGAGGAGTGGATGGGGCCATCTGATCCTCACCCAAATCGTGTGCCTCCGCATCGAACATCTCCTCATCCTGGTCGTCGTTAAAAAGGGCGCGGGCGGTCATTTTCTCTTTTCCCTTTGCTTTCTTCGACGATTGGGGATGGTGATTGCAGAAACTCTAAGTCCACCGGAGCATCAACAACTGACCTTGCTTGTGTTTTAAACACAGACCACCATTGAACTTGGTCCCATTTCAGGCTAGAGTATGATGCGTAGTACACTTGAGCCACTTGGTAAGATAAGACAAATGGATCGTATTTGGGGAATTTCTTAGTATGATTTACTTCGATTAGCCTGTATTGTTCGTGTATGTTCATTCCCCTACCATAATCCATCCAATTGCACTTAAACAAAATTGTCTTGTACTGTCTCTTGGGTCCCGTGTAGACAAGTTCAATTATGTCGTCTAAAATGCCGAAGTACTCTCCGCCATCCTCACTTGATACACACACACCATAATTCATGATTGATTTGTGCTTGCCATGGGCATATGTATGGAAATTAAATACACCTACAAAAATCTGGCCCCAAGTACGAACTCGCCTGAAGGGACGCATGCACAACGCTCGTAGGACATCCGAATTTGGCTTCTCTTCGACCACCTATAAAGTGGTTGAATATCAACATCACGGTTCCTAAATTCAATGAATTGAAATGCAAGATGTAAAATTCATAATTATTTCACGGTTACACTGCGTATATCACCTTTTGATGAAACCAATTAGAGAATTAAGCTTTGAAATTCTCCATGACTTCTTCTCTACGCAGGAAAGGTCGAGTACTAAGAATGTAGTCCTCAAACTTCCTACGAGGCCAAACATACAATGTAAATCTACAAAGTCATCATTGTAAATGATCATAAATACGAATACACTGAATACCCACTAGTAGAAAAAACTAAATAGGCACACCCCCTATGGCACCGGTTCTTGAAAACCGGTGCCAAAAAAAATGAGCGAAAGTTAAAAATTTAGAGTTGGCACCAGTTCTAACTTAAACCGGTGCCAACTGAATTTTTTACAAAAAAAAAAAAAATAAAAAAAAAATTATGGGATAGAGTTGGCACCTGTTTAAGGAGAACCGGTGCCAACTATGGTAATTTGCACCGGTTCAAACCGGTGCCATTTCTTTTTAAAAAAAAACCCGGGTTTTGTTTCTTCTTCATTCAATACGTCGTTCTTCTTCATATTCAACAACGCGCGTTTCTTCTTCATTTCTCCCGAACTCCATTCCATTGAAGCAGCTCACTCTCTCTCCATTGAAGCAGCTCGCTCTCTCTCCATTAAAGTGGTTTACGAGCTTTCTTACTCCATTGAAGCAGCACCTCCTTCTCTCTCCATATCTCTAGCCTCCATTGAACTCGTGCTCTATATTCTCCATTGAAGTCGATTCTGAGCATTCTCACCTCCATTGAAGCAGCTTTGAGGTAATGTGGTCTTCTTAATCTACCGAATTCCTTCGCAATCTAGGGTTTGTCGTTGATTTGGTTTTCAATTTCGTAATTTTAGGGTTCTGGCTTTATTTCTATTTTTTTCGAACAAAATAAGTAGGAGAACTCAGTTGCGAGCCTTATTGCGACCTATGCACCCCTTCCCCGGTTTCATTGTGGAGTTCTTTAGTTGTGCTCCATCAATCAAGGTTTCCCTCTTTCTCCTTTTTCAGTTGCATTCGATCTTAGGGTTTTGTTTGTTTTTAAACTTGAGGTTTTTTAGGGTTTTGTTTGGCGGTGGTGGTGACAGATTTTGCAGCAGCGGAAGGAAGACTAACTCAGTTTCAATTTGCACAATTTGTTGAAGACTAAAATCGTTGGCTTCATCTTCTTCAGGTTCTCGTTGTTCTCTTTATTCTTGAGTTTGTGTGTTTTTTTTAGTGTTATTAATGTTTGGTTCTTGACTTGGGTGTGTGGAAAGACTTGTTGATACATTGAACTTTGAACTCCTTCTGAAGATCATTACCTAGGCTTGATTAGGAGATAGATTATTTTTTATCTTCATATAATTTAAATCATTTATGCTTGAGATCATAGCCAAATTGTATGTATTTGAATTCATTTAATGTAGAACAATATATATGGATAATAAGATACTACACTCCTATTAGTTTCCTATACAGACTATTTGTTTGCTAGATAGATTATCTTAGCTAGGTTATCAACATCATTTTTTTGTGTTCTTTCTATCACAATTAGTAATTTGAGCAATATTGTGGAGTGATTTTGATTCACTTATAGAGTACTGGTACTCACTTTCTACAAATATTATTGTTAATAAAATATTAGATGCTATCAATGAGGAATGGAGTGAGTTTGCACCCGATGTGTCTGCCTGGAGGACAAGGGATTTTGCACCCTTCTCAGCTTTCTCAAATGGGGATTGATTTTGATGATGCCAGTGGTTCTTATGACATGAACATGACTACTGCACTTAATACTATACCAGAAACATCAAATACTACATTAAATCTGCTTAACCAATGTACATCCTTAGTAAGGCCTTCCTTAGCCACTGTTCCTAGGCCCAACATTATTAATTCAGAAGCCATGTCTTTCGGCCTTGAATCACGTATGCCTGTAATTTTCACCCTTATCAACCTCGCAATCCTCCTCAGGTAAATCTAAATTGCTTAAACAAAATCAAGTAATCCATCAAACATACATTTTATGTCATAATTGTATTTATTTGTTTTGTGTGAAGACTGTTGGTAGGGAAAGAAGCATGCCTCATGAGAGAATAGGAGTCAATAATATTGAGACAAAATCTTTAGGTATGTTTTCTGCCTTGCTGTATCTTGTTTATGTTTGCATCAATATCATTTCTTTTCAAGTATTTACATTTTAAATAGAATATAGCTTAGCGAGTTCAGTTTTGAATTTCGGAAAATGTTGAATTCAGGTGCCGTGACTACATCTACGAGGCTGGGGAATAACTCTGTTCAAGAACGGATGCAGCAAAAACATGCGCCACAAGAGACCTGTCTCGAGAATATATTGGGACAAAATCAGCTGGTTTCTAGTAATTTTAGTGGGTATAAAACTAGATAGATCATATTCTTGTGTGGACTTTTATTCAGTAGAAAACATTCTTTCAGTTTTTCACTCTTTTTGTCACTAATGCTCTGCATCTTTCAAAGGGATGCAATTTCACCGTGTGATAAAGAATTATGTGATACAGGCAGGGGATATCCACAGTATAGGACCTGCTGAACAATGGACCCTCAAGGGGAAGCATTACAACCAGCTTGATAGAAGGTATACTCGCTTTAAATCCATCAATGTGTTTGAGGTTTTTTCGTTATTGTTGTCCTTGCACAGTTATACACAAAATGTCATTTCTTTGCAGTGTTAAGCACGAGACTTTTATGCTTGGAACCTCCAAGTCAAAGCACGATTGCAAAGGATTTGGCTCCATATAACAACAGCACCTATTCCCGATCTAAATGAAAAAATTACTGTTTTGGACGATTTACTAAGGGAGTGGAGGTTGTCCAGGTAAACATTCTTTTCCAACTGATGTGTTTATCTACTTATAAGGATACACAATTTTTCTTCCTCCTCTTTTGGTCAATATTGGTAATGACTTTCGACTATGTTCAGGAAATTGAGGAGGTGGACACAGATGAGCACTACGTACCTTAATCTGCCATTGGCATTATGGATGTGACCCTTGAACAGAAGTCATAAACAATTTTATTTTTTTTATGTTTCGAGCTCAACAGCTGTGCTCTTTATTTGCAGAATTTCCTTCTCCGGGGTTTCCTTAGCAGAGTCTACAAATGAAAATACTTGTGAACTTCTCAACCTTTATCGCTGTTTATTTGTGTTGGGGGACTTAGAAGAAATCTAGCCAGTTGTATGTTGTTCCTTTCCAACTCTCCTGAAAAAAAAAAGTTGAACAGAAGAGATGATATAGTGGCTACAGTTTTTGCTTGAGTTATGGAAAAGCTGAGATACCAGTGATCAATAAGACCATTCTTTTTGTGACCACAATTTGATGTTTGTTATGTAAGTTTTGTCGTATTTTATCATTCTTTCTCGTTTAAAAAAAAAGGCAGGTTGCTATTGCAGGATAATAGACGATAAGAAGAGGAAGCTGATGTACAGCTAAGCATGCAGTTGCTCAAGAGTCTACTTATGCCAAAATGACTTGGGATATAAGCAATGAGGTTTGTTCCATTTTTTCGGAGTGATTGGACTGTTCCATTGAAAGTCTGGAATTTTTAGAATATCTTTAGCAATTATCCAATCAACTTGCATTTCAAAGATGCTGCATGAGATCACTGAGGTTAAGATTTTTTATTTTTTTTTAAACTATGACAGTGTAACAGAAATACTTCTGAAACCACCTGCAAACTACTTCTAATTTGATACCTAAAATACTTTCACTGAACAGACTAGAGATATTTCATGTTAGAAGCCTGAATTCTTTTTTGCTCCTAACCCATGTAAGCAACACTTAAAGCAAATGACCCTATAATTATCCCTCAAAGAGACACTGGTACATAACAGGATGATAGTTTTTACTGTAGTTAGTTGCTGTGCATAGCATAAATTAATCAAGTGCTATTTTAGTGGTGGCTGTAGTGAAATGTAGGAACATTCCTTCTGATGTTCAGGTGCTTCTTTGTCATTGTTATAATGTGTTGTTACCTTGTGCTCATCTTTCCGATACAGATTGCTATGAGGTTGTTTGCGTTTGGTCTGGTCAGTTTTTCAGTTGCGGTTTTGCTGATTTGCTTTGCTCTGATTCTGTGTTGCTGACTGCTAGGTTTTATGGGCTGATCCTTGAAGCTTTCTACTCAGCTGGTGCTATCTGACAGCTGTTCTTCAGGGACCTACTAGTGCCTGCTCTGCACTGGTTGGGCTGCTGGTTTGGGTGCTGTATAGTAGTGGTGTGGTTTGGTATTGGTGTTTTGGTGGGCTGCGAGGTTGTAATATTACTTAATTTTTTAATGAAAATATGTAACTTTATATATATGTTAATGTTTTTATATCAATTTAAGTGGAAAAAATGCAAAAAAAAAAAATTTATTTTTTTGGGGTATTTTTGGCACCGGTTTGGACCAGAACCGGTGCCAAAAGTTTTTTTTAAAATTTTTTTTGAGACTTTTGGCACCGGTTTAAAGCAAGAACCGGTGCCTAAAGTGGAGGTTTTTGCACCGGTTCTTGCTTAAAATCGGTGCCAATAGTGTTGATAATAATAAAAAAAAATTTGCGCCTTTGAAGTTGGCACCGGTTAACCGGTGCCAAAGCCTTTAGTTGGCACCGGTTAACCGGTGCCAAAGCCTTTAGTTGGCACCGGTTTTGAACCGGTGCCAAAGTTTTGAGGATTTGGCATCCCTTAAATCCCCAACGGTTCAAAATTGGTGCCTTAGGGGGTTTGAACCGGTGCCAAATTACCTTTTTCGTCTAGTGTCCTGGGCCTAATATACCTTTCGTATTCGCCAAGAATGCCGATGTTTCGTAACACGAACAAATGTGCACACTCGAGTTCTTTGTCATCTAAGAGCCGAGTTCTACCCTCATTTGACACACAACCACTGTCCTCTTTGAACAACTCTGGTATTTTAGCGTCGTCCAATGTGGACTCAACGTCAGCATTCACATTTTGACCAAGATCTGGAGTTTTAGTGTCAACTTTCGACTGTAAGTAATTGGAGTAGAAGTTTGCTATCTCTTCAGTGAGATAAGCATTGCATATGGACCCTTCAACTCGAGCCTTGTTCCTAATTTTCCGTTTCAAATGATTGAGGAACCTGCAATTACAGTTGTTATGTAACTGTATGAACACGTGATTAGGATGTAAAACAATGGATGTGAAATAAGGGTATTTGATTTACCTTTAGAAGGGATACATCCATCTGTATTGTACAGGACCACATAACTTCCCCTCGTACGGCAAATGTATAGGCAAATGCTCCGTGGAGTTAAAGAATGCAGGAGGGAAGATCTTCTTAAGCTTGTAGAGGATCTCAGGTATGTTTTTCTCTAATTGCTCCATGTCACTAACTGATGTTGTATAGCAACACAAGTCGCGGAAGAATTGGCTGATCTCTGTAATTGCATTTCAAATATGGCCAAGGAGAAATTCCGTCAAAGATGTGGGCAACATCCTCTCCATGAACACGTGACAGTCATGGCTTTTCATTCCACGGAGCTTACACGCTTGCAAATCTACGCATTTGCTCAAATTGGAGGCGTAACCATCAGGGAACCGCAGCTGCTTAACCCACTCACACAAAACTTTTCTCTAAGCCTTGTCAAGAGCGAATAGAGCTTTTGGCATGACCTCTTTACCTCTATCATCCTCTTGAAGAGGAAGCTGGGGACGTTTACAATATCTGGCAATGTCATTCCGAGCAGATGGCGTGTCACATGTATGTTTTTTCACATCAATTACAGTGTGAATTAACAGATCGAAGAAGTTCTTCTCAATGTGCATGACATCTAAGTTGTGACGAATGAGGAGATGCTTCCAATATGGGAGCTCCCACAAGGTGCTTTGCTTGAACCACCCCTTCTTTTCATTTTTCAACCTTTTAATTGAATCTAGTTCATCTGTAGCCTTCGGGAGGTCCTTCACACATTCCCACAGCTCCTCTCCTGACATGATGTGTGGAGGGGCACCTTTCTCTACTTTGTTTTTACAGAATGCAGTTTTACTGTTTCGAAAAGGGTGATCTGTCGGAAAGAATTGCCAGTGGAAATCAAACCAAGAAACTTTACCACCATGTTCGAGCCAAAATTCTTTTCTCTTTTCCATGCAATGTGGACAAGCTTTCTTACCAGCTGTGGCCCAACCAGACAACATGCCATAAGCCGGGAAGTCATTAATGGTCCATAGGATGGCTGCTCGAAGAATTAAATTCTGTTTCTTCGAAATATCATAAGTTGCCGCGCCAACTTCCCACAACAGTTTCAACTCCTCTATCAACGGTTGCATGTAAACTTACCATGAGTCATTAATGGTCCTTAGGGTTTTTAGGACCGGGAACGAGTAACGAAAGGAACATGAATTGTCTTTTCATGCACATTGAGGGAGGCAAGTTATAAGGGGTCAAAATGACAGGCCAACAAGAATATTGTCCCCCAAACTTACCATGAGGAGCATAACCATCTGCACACAAGCCAAGTCTCACATCACGACGCTCGGAAGCAAACTTTGGAAACTGACAATCGAGGTGTTTCCAAGCTGCACTGTCACTAGGGTGTGCCATTGTGCCTTGAACTCGGGGATTTTTCGAATGCCATGTCATTTCCTCCGAAATGTTCTTCGTTGCAAACAGTCTTTGCAACCTGGGTGTGATCGGGAAATAAAAAAGAACATTCAAAGGCACTAGGCTACCTTTGGAAGTCTTCTTGTATCGGTCGCTGCACCCACACCCTGCATACAGACAACTGAGCATCATCCTTCCAAAACACCATACACCCTTTCGGGCATGCATGAATCTTTTGATGGGACAGTTCCAACCCCTTCACAATCTTCTTCACCTCATAGAAAGTGTCGTCCATATGGCTGTTGTTCGGAATCACCTCACTTAGCAAAGAAGCAAACCCATCAACACATCTGTGAGGCAAATTATACTCTTATTTTAGACTAGTGATTCTAGCGGCCATCTCTAACACAGACAAAGAACTCCCTTCGTATAATGGCCTTTCAGAAGCCTTCAACAAATCCAAAAAATGCTTAGCAATTGCATAAGGCTCCTCCTCTGATGGAACACTAGCCTCCTCGGAGTGCCCCTGATCTTGACTATTACCAAAAGCATCCAAAACCATGTCAAGATATTCATTGGACCGCCGTTCAGGAACTCCCGGATACCCTTCCCTGTGACACAGCCACTCATAGTAGTTAGGTGTGAAACCCTTGCGATAGAGATGAATTTTAACCGTATCCGCATCCCAAAGGCGTTTATTCTTACATTTAACACATGGACACCTAACTTCATTTGGGTTACTACTCTCAGGATGATCTGCGACGTACTGAATGAATTCATCAACCCCTTTCACGAACTTTGGATTAATACTTTGCCCAACCATCCTTTCATACATCCACCTACGTTCTCTTCGTTTCATGATTACAGCTTCTACGTAGCTCACGCATATGTACAATCACATTAGTCATAAACCGTATTTCGCAGTCATTATCAACCAAAGCGTTATGGAAATGCAAATGAGATTTGAAATGCTTCCAAAGGGTCCTTATCACTCCAACCTAACCCATCCTTGTACGTTTATTCTCACTAGTGAATGTAACCCAGATTTTCAATTCTATGGAAAATCCGCCGGCATTTCCCTACAGTTCTCCAAGTACGCGATGTAGGCGATTAAACACACCTACATATGTACCGAGAGAACACGGTAGAGAAATGCATGAAAAGGCAGGATTTTTCCTAGAATAAAAAACAAGGCTTACATTCACCACCTAACTGAGAATAAGCGTACAAGGACAGTCCCAACCGGGGACTATTCAAGATATACTCCTAATGTGTATGCCTTGAATGGGTATCTAGGCATATGATTATGCAAATGATTCATTTATTATATATATATAAAGTGAAGGACACATGCATTTTACTAAACAGAGATATATCATAATTAAACTAAACTAAGCAAATAAATAAGAACACTTATTAAATATTATATTAAACATTATATCAAACAAAAATATTAAACTAAATACACTAGCATACACTTTATTAAACTAAACTAAACTAAAATAAACTAAAGTAAACTAAATTAAAATAAACTAACATACATTATTATATTAAACTAAACTAAAAAAAACTAACATGTTATAATACAATAATTAAAAACTAAACTTAAATAAACTAAACTAACTAAATTAAAATAAACTAACATACACTATTATATTAAACTAAACTAAACTAAACTAACATGTTATAATACAACAATTAAAAACTAAACTTAAATAAACTAGACTAAACTAACATGTCATAACACAAACACATTCCTTTCAAATATTTAAACATATTAGAATATAAATACAACAAATTGTATACACTACACTAAAAAGAATAATAAACTACAATTTTTAATACAATAATAAAAGCTTTTATATACTCTCTAACCTGTAGATCCGCCCTTGTTATTGCCAAAGAACCGATTAAATCTACAAATCCTACAAATAATTCAAATTAAATACTTAGTAACTAAGTTTATGCTTGCAATTTAAAATGAATAAATGCTCTCAACTTATATTAAAAGATAAACCAAAAAAAAAAAAAAAAAAATTAAAAAACGGGAATACTACCTACTGTCGGCGGCGGCTGGGCGTCGTCTGGTTGTAGACCGGCGACCGGCTTGTGTTTAAGGCTACGGAGTTCACATTTGAGTATAGTAAAAACTACAAAAAAAAAAAAAAAAACCGAAAAAACATCTAAAAACCCCAAACAGTGAATTTAAAAAAAAAAAACCAACAAAACAAACACCACTTACCACTATTCAACGGCAGCGGCTTTGACTCTTGGTGGTTGTGGTGAAAACCGGCGGTGGGTGTGGTGAATTCTTGTGAAGCCTAGGTGAAATGGTGGTGGTGGTTAGGGTTTTTAGCAAAAATGTAAAAAAAAAAAAAAAAACCGAAGATGACACACTTACCGGCGGTGTCCTAGCGGCAGGGTGGTGGTGGTGGTGGCGGTGACGCTCTCTTTCTCCCTCTCTCTCTTCTTCTTTTTCCTTCTCCATTTCTCTCTCTTCCTCTTCTTCTTTCACGTTCTCCCTTTCTTTCTCTTCAGTTGTTGTTCTGTTTTTTTCAGAACCTAATATTATTATTTTTTTAATTGTTGCAGCCTTCCGACGGAAATTATTCCCTCGGACTTTACAGGTTCCGACGGAATATTCCGTCGGAATTCCGTCGGAAATGGTTTTCCGATGGAATATTCCCTCGGAACTTGAATATTACGAGGGAAATAAAATCCGTCTGAATATTTCCTACGGATTTTTCCGTCGGAACGTTTCTTTTCCGACAGATTTTTCCTACAACTCTAATTTCCGCCGGAAATTTAAAATTTTTCGAGGGAATTATAGTCTGTCGGAGAAAGTCCCTCGGAAAATAGCCTATTTCTAGTAATGTATCTTCGTAAGCAATCTTGATAACTTGCCAATTGATGATTCATTTCTGGATGATTAACTATTTACTATCCTTCAAGCACTGGCACCATGGTTTGCAGACATTGCAAACTATTTATCATTCTCTATTCTTCCTCCCGACCACACCTATCAACAAAAAAGGAAGTTTCTTCATGATGTTCGCTAATACTTTTGGGACGACCCCTTTCTCTTTAAACAAGGTGTTGATGGCCTTTCTAGAAGGTGTGTCCCAGATGATGAGATTGAAGGTGTTATCACAATGTGTCACTCCTCACCTTGTGGAGGACATATGAGTGCTAACAAAACCTTGGCGAAAATCATGCAATGTGGTTTCTATTGGCCTACAATGTTCAAAGATGTGTGGGGTGTAGTGAAAGCTTGTGACCGGTGTCAAAGAACCGGCAATATTTCAAGAAGAAGTGAAATGCCCTTGAACAACATTCTTGAGTTGAAGATTTTTGATGTATGGGGCATAGATTTTATGGGGGCCTTTCCCGACCTCTTTTTGGAATAAATTCATTCTTGTGGCCGTCGATTACGTGTCAAAGTGGGTAGAAGCGGTTCCATCTCCTACTAATGATGCTAAGGTGGTGGTCAAACTCTTCAAGAAGGTCATTTTTCCAAGGTTCGGGGAGCCACGTGCCGTCATTAGTGACGGAGGTTCGCATTTTGCAAAGCGGTCCTTCCAAGTTCTCCTTGAGAAGTACGGTGTGAGGCACAAGGTCTCATTGGCTTACCACCCACAAACAAGTGGTCAAGCCGAGATTTCAAACCGGGAGATAATGATAATCTTAGAGAAAACAGTGGATAGGTCTAGAAGGGATTGGTTTACAAAGCTAGATGATGCTCTATGGGCCTACCGCACCGCATTCAAGACTCCCATTGGCACCACACCTTACAAGCTTGTATATGGGAATTCATGCCATTTGCCGGTAGAATTGAGCATCGTGCTCATTGGGCTATTAAAACATTGAACTTTGACCTTCAAAGTGCCGGTGAAAAGTGGTTGCTTGACCTCCATGCCTTGGAAGAGCTAAGACTGGATGCATATGAGAATGCACAGATCTACAAGGAAAAGACCAAGGCTTGGCATGACAAGCATATCAACAAAAGGGAGTTCAAGGAAGGTGATAAGGTCTTACTATTCAATTCCCGGTTGAAGTTGTTTCCAGGTAAGCTAAAATCAAGATGGAGTGGACCTTTTACCGTCAAGAAGGTGTTTCTATATGGTGCAATTGAAATCTCCAATGAAAATGGTGAACCGTTCAAAGTGAATGGCCAAAGGCTAAGCCATACTTTGAGGGTTTTGTGAATGAAGAGGCCAAGGTAGTTCACCTTGATGAGTTTGATGTTCCTCATTAACAATTGATCTCGCAATGTCGTTAAGCTAGTGACGTTAAAGAGCGCTTCCGGGAGGCAACCCGAGTTCCTCACTCTGTCTCATAACCTATTATTTCATTTCATTTATTTTTATTATTACTAACTTTTTTTTAAAAAAAAAAATAAAAAAAAATTCTTTTGTAGGTATTTGTTGAAAAGAGGAGTAATACAAAAAAAAATAAAAAATAAAAAAACCGTAGAATCGTGCACCATCAGGTCTGCACGGCCATGCAGAACACCGCACGTTCGTTTAGATGAAGGCAGAAGCAGCCAAATATCGAAGGATTAAAATTTGGGTTTTGGCACGTCCGTGCTGAATTCTGCACGCACGTGCACTGGAAGACAGAATCATCAGCTATTCTGGTTGAATCTGCACGTCCATGCCAACCTACGCACGTCCGTGCAACTTAATCTGCACGTCCGTGCGTTGTTCTGCACGTCCGTGCGCACGAAGGTAGAAAAAGATAGCAGTTCTGGCAGGAGCTGCACGTCCGTGCTGACCCCTGCACGTCCGTGTAGCCCCAGTATAAGGCCAATTCGCACGGTTTATCAGCAAAAAAAAAAAAAATTCTCAACTCACTCCTCATTGTCACGATTCTCTCTCTCTAAAACTCCTTATTCCTCCTCCTCTTAAACCCCCTCAAACACTCAATTCCTCACCCACATACAACATTTTTCATCAAAAAATTCACTCTTTTTCAACAAATTTACAAAATACCACTCCATTCTCCATATTTAAACCCAAAAAAACACCCAAATTTTCCAAACCCTAACAAAAAAAAAAAATTCAAATTAGGGGTTTTCTTGTGGGTTGAAAATCAAAGCACTTGGTTAAAGCAGAAGACTCAAGCAAGCATAAGGTTAGAAAGGTTCATTTGCGGGTTTTACACCCACGTTAGACCCGGTATAATCGTTCCTTCTATTCACTACTTCCATACTTACAATCTTGATATTTTGAGTTTAATTTTGCTTGGATAGTTGTTTGAATTGGTAGTGAGTGAATAATTGTTGATATATGTTAAGTATTGTTGAAATTGATAATGCTTTATGAATTTTGTGAGAATTGGGTGTTTGTAAGTGAGTAGGATTTAGAGGATTTAATTTGGTGAATGAAAAGCATGCTAGCCTAGTTGTGTTGTTGTTGTGATGAATTATTGACAAGAATTCATGAGTTTGGCAAACCTTGGTGTTAAATTGTTGTGACTTGAAATAGTGAAGACCATCTTGGTTGTTTTTGTGATTGCTTGAACTTGATCCTAGATTGTGCACTAAGAGCCCCAACGTGATTTGTGCGGTGTTTGTTGTTGTTTTTTGAGCCTTTAATTGTTGTCTACGCGGACCTAGAGCTTTTGTGTGTTTGGTGTGGTGATTTGAATTTTTGTGGCGTGTTTAATTTCTTTGCACAAGAACCAACCATGTCAAGGAGAAACCGCCCAAGAAACACCTCCTCCGCTAGACTTAGGAACCCATCGCCTCCTCCTCCCGTTGATCCACCACAAGTGGATACAATGGGAATAATTTTCAATGACCCGGCCTTTTCTGCCAACTTCCTTAGGAATAGTAGGAGGTGAATAAGGCCCACTAAGTTTTACGATGAAGAGGTAGCCGATGCCCTTGGGGTAGGTGAAGATGTTAGAATGTTGTTTGAGGGTGCCGACCTAGGTTCTTGGCTACAATTACATGCCCAAACCTATAGGAGACTAACCCTTGAATTCCTTTCCATCCTTTATGTGCATCGGGACACCACGAGGACCCCCCCCGCTACATAACTCTCCAACTCATGAGCAACCAACATAAAATGACTATAGCTAGAGTAAACCAAGCTTTTGGGTGGCCCACAACCGGAACTATCGGGCCTAAGGATAGACAACCCCATGGTTATAATGCGGGAGATTTTTGGAGAAGAATCTCGGGGGCTTTTGAGTACAACCCTAGGTTCGATAAGGTCATCTCCATTATCCACCCTGCATTCAGACTCTCTCAGCGCACTATAGCAAACACGACGTTTGCTAGGGGGGATAGCTCGGGGGTGGTGTCCAAAAGGGAGCTCTACTTCCTATGGCACTTGAGTGAGGGTAGCACTAGCTTGGATGTTGGGTCTTGGTTTGTAGACCACCTTGAGGATGTTGCCACAGGATGCGGCAACATCACCATAGGTGGCATGATTACTATTATTGCTGTTGCTCTTAACCTTGATTTCGCAGATGAAGAGATTGTCCCAGGGCTAACACAGTTGGACATGCAGTCATTAAGGGCCATGAAGTGGCTCACGGATGTAGAAGGGAACCACCCCTACTTGTGGTTGGTGAGTAGGCGGCCCTATGCCTATCTCCTTGACCCGGAGGCCACCGCCATTTATGACCAAGGCAAATGGATTTTTTAGAGGGATTTTCCTTTGGCTCCCGGTGAAGAGGGAGAAGAGCAAGGACAAGAGAAGCAACAACATCAACAATTTTAGTAACAACAATTTCATCAATAACACGAGTTCCAACAGGGGTACCAAGAGGGGTACCAAGATCAAGACATGGGTGAAAACAACCCATACCTCACTTTTGAGAAGCAAATCGCCAACATGAATGCGAATTTTTCCCGCATGACCACCAAATTTGAGACTATGAGGAAGTCAAACGAAGACATGAGGACTTCTTTCGACGGAATGAGAACAAGTTTTGAGGGTCTTAGATCTGAGTTGGGCGATTTCCAAAACGTGTACCGGCATCTCTACACCAGGGGCTTAAGCTCCCAAGGGGGCCCAAACCAATGCTTTAGTTTCTTCCTCCCCTTCTCTTTGTGCTTGCGTTGCTTTAACATTGGGGACAATGTTTATGATAGCTTGGGAGGGAGTGTTTTCTCATGTGTCATTGGTTCATGTTGTGCTCTCGTCTAGCATAGGATATTGTCAAATTTGCCCAAAGTAGGATATGTTTAATCAAATTGCGGTCCCTCGTGCCCTTAATGTGCCTTTTCTCCTCCCCGAAATGATCCTCTATTAGGGAATTTGCTCTACTTGTATCATGTGTAATAAGTGGCATAATAATCCACACGATATAAATAAAGAAAGAGCCGCTCACAATCAAAAGAGGCGAGGGCAATGAATGTAAAAAAAATAGAAAAGAAAAAAGAAAAAAGAAAAAAAAAAACATAGAAAAGAAGAGAGGACAAAAACTCCCCCAAAATTCACTCCCCAAAATTCTCAAAATTTTGATTTTCTCTTCTTTAGAGGTCAACTTGTGGATGCCTCCCACACATTGTCTACTATGTTGTTTCTTGTGAAATTCCCGAGTTAAAGTGTAGTTAAGGGGCTTTGGCTGTGCATTCTAGGAGGTGGACTAGCATTTTGAGATTTTATAACCGAAAGAGGGCTTGTTACAACTTTGGAATAGCTAGATGTGCTCTAATGAACTAGTAAAAGGTCTAAAGAAGTATTCTAGTGCAACCTTGCTTAGTTCCCCTCTTTACCCCCAACTCATGTGTACATTTATATGATTGGTAATTCTTGAAAGTTTCTCACTTGACTTGCTTGCGATTTATATCCCGATGAGTTGACTTAGGTGATAAAAACATTGGAATTTTTGTAGTTTGATAGTTTTGTTGTGGTTTGTGTGAGTTGTAGGTTAAGCTCAATGGAAACCCTCACGAGATAAAAACTCGTCCTCTAAGGCGAATTAGAGGTTTAAATTGCTTCTCACTTGTGCTAAAAGTGACTATGGTTGTTACCATGCTGATTTGTGTATTTATGCTTCCTCCTTGTTGCTTCTCCTTGGTTTGATGTTTACAAGTTGTTTTCCTCATTGGGTTTGACATGTTTGTTTTGTTCGAGGACGAGAAAAAGCTTAGCTTGGGGGGATTTGATAACTTTCTATTTGATATGATTTTAGGGTGTTTTTTAACCTAGTTTACTTGAAAATTTTGTGTTTTGGTTCACTTTTACTCTATTATTATGCAATTTTTGTGTATCATATGCTTTACGGGTTGTTAGTGTTTTTTTATTGAGATTCTAGGTCCAAAGACGACCAAATGAATCCCATGGATACTAAACTGAGGTTAGAAGCAAGAAGATGGTAGAAAGAAGCCAAGGAAAGGAGCACTATAGAAGAAAAGATGGAGAAAAGAGCTTAGAAGACCTTGCACGGCCGTGCCAGACCTTGCACATCAGTGCAGGAGTGCTCCAGAAAGTCACAACCTTCTGTCAAGGCCTGCACGGTCGTGCTTAAGTTGGCACGATCGTGCAAAAGAGGTTGCACGTTCGTTCCATAACTGGCACGCCCGTGCAGGATTTCAAGCCCAAGCAGTAGCTTCTGCCATGCCTTGCACGGCCGTGCGTAAGGCAGCACGTCCGTGCAAAACCTGGTACGTCCGTGCAGACCTGCGATGAAGCCCGATTCTTGTTTTCTCCGTCCTTTTTATTTAGGGGTCTTATAAATACCCCCTTTGAGCTCATTTGTACGGGAAGCAAGATTTTTAGAGCTTTCTCTTAGTTTTGCAATCCTAGAACATTAAATTCTCAAATCATTAGTTAGATTCTAATTATTAGCTTGGAAATATTTAACTTCAATCATTGTAGAAGACAATAAGTTCCACCATTGTTGCTCACTTTGAAGCTTCATAGTAACTATTTCTTACTCTTCCCTTCCATTACTCTCTACTTTGTTGTTAATTACTTGCTTAATTCTTGCATACTTAAATTGTTAATTAGCTTAATCCTTAGTTTGAACTTGTTCATGAATTGCTTGAAATCTTTACTTGCCTTAATCTTAATCGGGGGACAATAGGTCGTTAGCTTACTATCCTAGATCAAAATTACAATTTATATCTCCTATCCTAAATCTATCAATTTTACTTTAGATAGTTGTAAGGTAGGATCTATTCCCAAGGAAACGGGGGTTTAACACAATTAATACGATACCAAGGATAAATTTCTAGTAACAAAGA